GAATTCTGGGAGTTGAAGTCCACTCATCTTAAAGTGGCCAAGTTTGGACGACACTGCTGTAGATCCTCCATCAAGGTCATCTTCTTTACTCCTTACAAAGGAAGGCTTATTATGATCAGAGGACTAGAAATTAAATTTTATAAAGAAAGAAGGAAGGGACTGTGAATGTTTAGTCTGGAGAAGACTAACATCCCTGTAAGGCAGCCGTGCAGAGAATCAAGTCCTGTTCTCTCTTCTTCCAGAGCACAGGACATGGAATCATGGATTAAGCGACAGAAGGGCAGATTCCAACTGAATGGCAGACAAAACTGCTTAACCTCGAAAGCACGCTGATAGCCGATCCCTTCACTGCATGTGCTGAAGTGGATATCAGGGAGCCATTTATTAAGGATGGTTGAATTTGGATCTCTACGCTGAGCAGGGCTTAGACAAACGGCCTTTTCAAACTCAAGGATTCCAGGCCCCTTAGGGTTCATTTATTGATAAAATGCTTAATCCCAGAATGTGCCATAGATGTTTCCCTTCAGGTCAGGTCTACTCTCACAGAAGCATTTTTACCAGATCCTGCAGCATCACTGTTTTTAAATGCTTGTTACGTGTTGCCTGCCTTTCGGTATACTCGGTTCTAGCGATGCGTTACGTAAACTCAGTTTAGTTCTTCCACAGGAAGTAATTGCAGAAACTGATGTCCAGTTTTCCTCCATGCCCTTGGTTTGGAATCAAAGACCACGCATGTGGCTATTCCTAGCTAAGCATTTCCTAAATACGTGTCTTAAGAAAAGCATCCATGATTCAGCAAGTGAGGCTTCAGCATGCTGAATTCCCTCCGAATCATACCCCCAAGTACCATAATGTCACAATCCACCACTTATTTTATGCACTATTTGAATATAATTCCCAGATATTATCTGGATTGCAAAAAGGGGGGTTTTTTTGCAAGGGGGTTGTGATTTTCATTTGTTTGGTAAGCTGTCTTGGTTGCTTACTGAAGACTGGGACATACAACCCTAAAATATCTGGAAAATAAAGCTGCCACTCAATTACAGAAACTCTGACCATGTAACAAATTAAGCAATTTAGTATGTTTGCCCAGGGTTGTCAGTGTTAATCAAAACTTTTTTTAATATAAGGAGCATATGCGCATCACAAAAGTCACTATTGTCGGAAAGAAGAAGAATTATTATCTAATTAATGTCACTTTATAAGTACATTCACATTTCTTCTCTTAGATCTACATTAGTGCGCCATTTACGTGGTTTGCTTCTATGCAATTCTGTGATGGTGAATACTTACAGGATTGTTACTGGCTTTCCCCACAAGTATGAGCCTGGCTTTGAGCTTGGTCATATTAAAGTTTTTCAAATAGGCTTCATAAATTCTCTTGGCAAGTGATTTAAGATCCGCGACTTCGGAATTTTCTATACAAAGTTCACCTGTTTGAATTTCAGCTTTCAGCTTTGCCTTCTCTGATCTGGGCATCCGTCCAAATCGAATTGCTGAGGGGAAAACAAGCATTTCAAAGGGAGCATAACAACGCATGCACTCTCTCGCCCACAGCTATATTCTCCCATTCTGGACTCAACCGTAAGTTGGGCTGTGCGAGGACATTAGATTAGCACTGCGTAGACCCGTGTTTCTCAAACTTCAAGATGTGTGGACTTCAACTCCCAGAATTCCCCAGCCAACATCTTAAAGTTGTCAAGTTTGAAAAACACTGGTGTAGATGCACTCAGCTTCAATGGCATTAGGAGAGAACAGACCAGGGTTACCTACAACTTATCGTTGACCGAGACATCCTTTCTATCTATATGCAACCAACCTCTTCTGGGCAAATCCTGAACATAGCAAGACTACACCTATCAGAAAGCCAATAGGATTCAACCTGTGCTGGTCAGCCTTCCTTTCATTTCAAGGGCACTGACTGGGATCGACCCCAATTTCCTAACCTTTTGCAATCATGCTTCATGGTCTGCTCTACCTCACTGTGGCCAAACTCAAGGAGGGCAAAAAACAGAACAAAACTAAACTCAAGGAGGACACACACAAGAGTGAGTGTGAAAAGAGTAAATATACCGAGAGGTCAAGGTGAGGAGGAGGAAAGAGAGAGAATCATATTGAGAGGTCAACGGCTCTACTGAGGCAGGGTGAGAAGTACCACTGAAAGCTGGAGATGCAAAGAAATCTATGGTGGCTTTGATGATTTTATTTTAAGATGGAGAAGGGAAAAAAGAAAGGTAAGCAAGAAAGAAAACTTTACAACAGTCTAACAGACACAAGAAGAGGAGGCAAAAGAAGGGGGGTGGCATTCTTATGGGGTAACAAATCCATAGAGTAGGAGAGGGGAGAAATCTACTTAATTCACATGTGAATTTGAACCAATACATGGACTAAAAATTATCATTCAAAATTACTCCTCCCAATTGTTAATGCGGATTGCCATTAAAGATTTGTCCTGAGGGAAGCTGAACGTATGTATCCATGAAAAAATGTATAACGATGCATCTCATTAGGGAAACTCTTTACAAAACGATGTGCATTAGGCAAATCCAAACAGCGGTGCACACTTTCGGAAGAATATTGTTTTTATGCAAACTTATAAAAAAAATCACAAGCTCAATAAACCAAAATGAGAAACTCAGAAAACATACATCTGAGAGAGTTTACTCGTCTCCAGAAGACAAAGAAGAGAACCAGTACTAAGGAATGCAGCAAAAGCAGAAAGAAGGAAGATCTAATGAAAAAGGAACCATAAGGCAGTGTTTCTCAAATTCAGCCACTTTAAGATGTGTGGACTTCAACTCCCAGAATTTCCCCCCCCCCGCAACTGTCTTGGCGGGGTGTTTGGGGGTTGATGGCTCCACCCTCTTAAACCACTCGCCTTGCAATACACAACCAATGAAGAAGAAAG